TGAACAGCCATTAAACTAAGTTTGACAAACTTTGATAAGGGGGGAGAGAGCATCGAAAGTTCATAAGTTTTTGGCCAAATGGATTCGGTTTACAACGAATAAGCACCTCCTCGTGTATGAACTACCCGTACCAGTTAACATCTTTGATGATGGATTTGAACGGGAATCCAAAAAGTCAGACGAATAAAAAATCTTGTTCCTGCGATAGTGTCGCCTTTTGCACGGACATCATTTGCATATCTAAGCATACTACAAAAACATTAAAATATAGAGGAGAATCTAAATAGACTGCGAAAAAATAATAAGCAAACTCTATGAATACTGAGTTAGGAACCACCACAAATCTACGAGGCCATCCATTTAAACTACGTGTGACAGGGGCCAGACTGGACACCCGAAAGTTCTTTTTCTCTAACAGAGTGCTAGAAGCCCGGAATGCCCTGCCTGTGGATGTCGTTATGTCTGCTTCCGTCAAGGTCTTTAAGAGGAAACTGGATTTGTGTAGCAGTGTCCACTAAATTACCACCCCATCTCTGTAACCATGACAAATTCCGTGTTATTATACTACTTGCTATATTTCGGTAACATTTTAAATTGAATTTCTTATTGTCCCCAACCCACCGCATACGCTCACTGACATGCACCTATTCAAATTTTGTCAACGGATATATCATTTATTTCGCTTCACTCGAAACGACCGCTCTACAACTGCTCGTACCACTAACATTCGAGACAGTTTGTTTGTCTGTACAGATCTGACGCTTTTCCGATTATTTGTTCCCTTTATGATACCTTTTCGCGTTTTTGAGTTTTTACAGTTGCATGTACACAAATAGGGAGTTCAGAGGTGAAGACCTACATTTCCCTCAATAAACTAAACTGAAAAGGAACACAGAGAGTGGTTCCTTAATTCTAGTTAGTAATCACAAAGGTACTGAATTAGAGCAAGCGGGCTAGTGGAATAAAATGCGTGAGAAAATGGGTAGGACGCGAGGAACTAGCTGAAA